CGAACGAATCAACCGATTTTGACCGGATTGGTGGCGATCGACGTGGTTTTTTGAGGTTGAGAGCTGATTAGTTTTTGGAATTGATCGGTACAGCCGTTTAAAAGTTATTCCAAAAAAACCACTTTTCAAAAAATTTTTTTTTGTAGTTTTTTTGAAATTTCTCAAAATCTACTGGTCCGAATCGGTTCAAATTTTCAGGAAATCTAAGTTTGGTCATGCCCTTTCGAATGGCGCCAACCGCGATTAAATCGGTCAAGCCGTTTAAAAGTTATAAGTGGTTCACATACTTTCACACACACACACACACACACACACACACACACACATACACACACATACACCCTGTTTAAAATTTCCAATAGGATCCCATCAAAAGCGACAAAAGCCACTTAGAAACCCATAAATTTTATTGGTTTCTAAGTGGCTTTTGTCGCTTTTGATGGGATTTTATTGGAGCTTTTCAACAGGGCATAAATACATACATACAGACATTGTGACACCCTCGGGGGGATAGTCAGGGAAGTTTTCTGTGACCTTCAAACGTCGAGATCTGATGAAATCTCGATTTTTGCAAAACGGGGTAAAACCAATAACTTCCCGATTTTCGAAAATTTGTAATTTTCTGAGCGGGAAGTTAAAAATTTGTGATTAGATAAAATAAAGTGTGGAAGAGAAAAATCAGTGAGAAAATGAGTTGCTACATTTTTTTTAATTCTTAGCCAATTAAAAATGAAATTGCTTTTGAGAAAAAAAAAATTTTTTTTCAAAAAAGTTCGAATTTGTTTTGTTTTTTTTCTTTTTCAAATTTTACTAAGCCACTGATGCGGAATTGAGAAATAAATATAAAAAAAAAATTTTCATATTTTTAAAATATAAAAAAAAACATTATGACCTTTTCGGAGTAAAATTCTCCCTGATTAAAAAAAAAAAAATGGTGTGTGTACTTATGTACACACGTCAGAAGTTATACTTCTTTGGCATAAGAAAAAAAAATGTAAAAGTGATCGAAGAAAAATGTTAAAAACAATCAAAAATGTTTTATTATAGTCAAAATTTTGCTATATTGTATAAATATAAAATCATTAATTATCGTATGAATTTAATTCAATATTATTTAAAATTTTCTGAATAAACTATAATTTTGGAGTTGTAAAGTATCAACAGTTTACAATTGATAATTATAAAATATTTTAATTATTTATTTAAAATATTCGTTTCTTATATAATAGTCTATTATTTATTATTTAACCGAGTGATAACATCTTTTTAATTAATATTTTTTCAAAAATAATATTAATTACATGAATTAAACGATTTAAAAATATTGTAGTATAAAACTAGATTTCGTTTCCAATAAAATTCTGAAAAATTATTAAAATGGTATATAATATACATTTTAAGAAATATGGATAGAATTACTAAATTCGATAAACAAAATGACTAAGGTAGTACCTCCACGAAAAGCATATTTCAAGAAACTTATGGAATTTTTTTTATCAAAAGGTAAATATATTAATAATGGAATTTATTATGGAATTATAAATCTTATGGAATTTTAAATCTTTATTTATAATTTACGATATAGTTTATTTTAAATCATTCTAACTCAAGGGCTTTTAAAGCGTATTCTTATTATAATTGGCCTTGTTTAAATCTCAATGTTTACATTTTATTAACCAAATTCTATTATCTAAATCATATTAATAAATCTAAATTTTAGTATACTAAATAATTCAAAAAATCTCAATATTTAAATATTCATGACTATAAACCAAAACTTATATCCGAATATTACAAATAATTATTCGACTGAATATTTTAATGTAGCCTTTTATCTATCTATATTTTGTATTTTATATAATTTTAAGTAACTTTGTAAATAATCTAATGTATACTTATATTCATACACATTTCAAATGTAATTTTAATACTTTGCCATTCGGCCTGTGCCTTGGCATTTATCATGAATAAATAAATAAAATAATTCACCATCAAAATTTCAGATCAATTCACCGCACCGTTTTTGAGGAATTAATTTTCGAAATTGCATCTTTTACACGTAGAGGTACAGAGAAATGGTAAAGTTAGTATGAAATCTATTTGCATCATTCGAGTGGTACGGAAAATTTCATACTAACTTTACCATCTCTCTATATACCTCTACGTGTAAAAGATGCAATTTTGAAAATTAATTACTCAAAAATGGTGCGGTAAATTAATCTGAATTTTTTGTGGTGAATTAGTAATATATTTATCTTTCGATAAAAAAAATTCCATAAGTTGCTTGAAATATGCTTTTCGTGGAGGTACTACCTTAAGTCTATATTAAAAAATTATGAACTCAATAAAAAGATACCTAAATATAATATTTATATTTTAGTTTAAATATTTTATTTCATGAAATTATTATTATTTTAGAAAAAAATATAAATTAAAAAGAAATTATTACCAAGTTGAATTAAAACTAAACAATCAAATAAAATATTTAGTTGACCATTTTTTAAAATTGATTATTAACCCCTGACAAGCACACATCTAAATCGTATACCTCTTTAGGCATTGAGGGTGAAAAGTACCCAACATATTTCATTTTCAAATATCTTGGTTTCTAATAAAGTTAGAGAATTTTTTTTTTTTAAATCAAAGCTCAAAAAATTCTCTATAAATTAGATATAATATTAAATTAATCAGTGCCACTTAAAATAGATAAATATACAATTGAAGTTTAAATATGTACAAAAAATTATAACGAAATAAAATTTTGGGGTGGGTACTTTTTACCCAGTGTGCTTGTCAGGGGTTAAGGTAGTTCTTTCCCAACCTATAGTTTATGCTACTGCTGTCTTCGTCACGCGCTAGTGTTGCCTCTCTTACGGGCTATTGCTCACTTACTTCCACGCATGACTTTATTTGTTTACTTTACTAGTTTATCAATGATTTCTCAAAAACTATGAGGTAGTGAATTCCAGAATTTTGTAGGGTAATTATACATGTATTAATCTAAGTAATGTTAGTTTTTCGTGAAATTCTTAAAATTTCTTCAATACAAAAATAATAAAACTCGCGGTTTTCTCTCTCTTTTCCTACACCGCCTGTGTAAAAATGTCATTTTCAATTGCAATTATCTTCGGTTAGACGTGGTAAATCGTTTCTAATTTTTAACAGCGTGTGTATTATGTATTTAACTACTTCTATACGGAGTTTGGAAGATTTCTTGAATTTTTGCTCAAAAGGCCGAACTACCTTAATATGAATAATATATTTCATATTAAATGGCATTTCTATCGAATTTAAAAATAACAACGTTTCGTTTGTATATGAGTTAACTTAGTCAGTGAAAGAATTCTATATTTTTAATTATATTTGTGGCCAACTTCATCATGTCGCTTTTTTGGGATATCATGCGCGCGCAGCTCACAAATTTCACTCTCATCCAAACGCGCCAAAAGAAGTATAACTTCAAAAAAGTATTGAACCTATGCAACTGTATATCTATATTGTATGTATATACAGATATACAGTGTGTGTAATTCAATATTTTTCAATACTTTTTTTTAATCAGGGCTTGCTCCTTTCATTTTTTTAAACATTTAATCGAGTGGGACAAAAAAAAACGGTTGGCTGGATCAAATTGAACTTTTGTAGGGTTTTTGTGGGTATATAACATTAGTGATTTCTGCGATATTCTTGATTAGGCGCTTAATTTTCCAATAAACTACGAAAAGCCCTTTTTGGTTGCTTTCTCAAATTTATTTAATGATTAAGGAAAATTTTTTTTTCGAAAAATTAATAGCTACTTCTGTAGAGAATTTATTCAAGTTTTCAAAACCCACCTTGAATTTTCTGTTCCATTATTGGTTGCCGAGCTATTAATAATCAAAGACAAACTGATCCTTTTCCATTCAAACACCGATATCTCGGTGCCGCGACTAGTCAACCGACGACATTTCAACCGCGACAGTTCAACCGCGACATTTCAACCTATATCTCAGCGAGAAATGCTCGTATCGAGGTCTTTGAAAAAGCAAATTCAAGCTCAATAAACAAATTATCCGGTCCATGTAAAGGTTAAGTAAAAAAAAATTCTTCCAAGCCCGTAGACTAAAGAGAAAATCCAAAAAAATTTCAAGAATTTTTTTCTCGTTTCCTTGAGATCACTCGAAAATAAATTTTGGAACTCAAATCCAAAAACTAGACACTTGGAGCTACAGTTTGCTTTTCTTTTATTTGCTGTACAACTATTTTTTTTCAAGCCACAACCTGTTGGAAAAGCCCTAAAAATTTGGATTTTTTTCTTGCTCTCTTAATTTTTGTGAGAAGTGTATTATTCATGGGTCAAAAGTACTAAATTTTGAGATTTTTCAAACCTTTAAGAATCCATATCTCTTAAAATATTAACTTTATCATGAAAATTCATAGCGCCTTTTTTATTTGTATTTTAATAAAGAATATAAAAAAATTTGTCGAGGTTGCCACATGGCAACATGCATTTATATCATCAGTAGGGCAACCTAAAGAGGATGGTATAAAAAAGTTGAGGTGGAATAGTTTTCGGTACTCATGCACGGAGAGAAAATCCTATGAAAAATTACGATGGTAACATAGTAATTTTTAGTATAAAACATTGTAGTGCCGGACCAGAACTCAAACATTATAATTTATGCGATGCAACATCGTAAATTTCTATCACTCAAATTAAAAAGAAGTGTAGGTCACCGAAAAAATAATTCTGTTTCACCGAGGAATCGAACCCGGTGCCCTCTCCGACACAAGCCCAAGATTTATCCCCTTACGCTATCGTAAGGAATATCTATCTTCTCTATTCAGTCACATAATAAGACCCTCCATACAGTAGTTGGTCATCTTTCGGTGGTGGCGTCGCAAACTACTAGACTCTGTCTCTCTTTTATTAAAACATATAGTATGCGTCCTTATTCACTTGCTCTTAACGGAAAAAAAATTTACTAAATAACATCGTAAATTTTCAATAATTCAAATTATATTCTGTAGACGGCAGCATCATAAAAATCAACATACTGTAAGTTTAGTCCTGGATTACGATGTTACTATAGTAATTTTTCATAGGATTTTTTTTCCGTGTGCGACGATTCCTCCTGGACTAAAATGTCTATCCAAACAATAAAGAAATAAGATACATACTTTGTGATTCTAATAAAATATTTTGTCGCTTTAAATCATCAATATCTTGCTGATGGGAAGAATTTTTCCGTCGCATAAATTGAATATACTCAGCAGCTTTTTTTAGAATTTGCGCTCTACTAGCTACTTTTTCTCCTTGCAGAGAAGGTACTGTATCTCTGAGGCTTGAAAAACTATCCTTTATATGATCTCGACGTTTTCTTTCTAAAGCATTGTGATGAGCACGTTTTTCAGCCTGTAAATAGAGAATGAAATTTATTAAAACTAGCTTATAATTATAACTATGTACCATATTAATATACAATTTTAGCGCAGAAATTAAATAATTAGATGACTTAGTAGTGAAAAGTCTAAAAACTTTTGAACAATAGACATTTTTAAATAATATTCACTTTGAAATAAAAGTCTTTACAATTATATATTCTGCAAATCAGTCACATAATATATTGCTATTGACTAAGGTAAAAGCCCCAATAGATGATCACGTACCAGCATATGGTCACTCCATGTATTTGTATATCTATATTCACAAATATAGGTATACAAATACATGGAGTGATCATATACTGGTACATGATCATCTATTGGGGCTTTTACCTTACCTACGCTCTTGAAGATTTTCGTTACAATTAATATTTTCAAGTTTTTCGTAACTTCAACATTTACGTCTTTTAATAGTAGTTTAATAAATAATTGAGTTAATTTCTGACTTAGATCGTTGATTTGATCGGAACCATGCTCTGAAACTATATATCTACAGATTTCAATAAGATCCACTTTGAATCAATAAATAATTTAGTCTGGTACTATACAATATTTACAAAATTTTTAGTAGATTTCATAAAAATCTAACTATTGTATTTGTCGAAAAAGTTGCTTAAAAATCGAAGGTATTTGAATCCCCATTTGACAAAGGGCTTAAAAAATTTGTTTTACATTCTAGTGAAACATGTATTTTTTTCAAAAAAATAAAAAGATCGGTCTTCAAAAAGTCAAAATTTGAGTTGAAATGTAAAAAAAAGTAGTGAAAAAAAAATTTTTTTTTTTTAATTTTTTTTCGAAAACTTCATTTAAAAGTGAAGAAAATAGCCACTTGCAAAATGAAATTACGATAATTTAATCAGGAGTTATGAATTTCTGAGAATTACCTCATCGTTATTTTTTCGCGATTTTCAAAAATTCGTATTTCCAAAGGTTTTTGAAAATTAAGGGCTCAAATTAAAAATTCAACCGGATCAAAAAATATGATTTTCAAAATCAGGTGATTTGGCATGGAATGACCCATATATAATGTGAATATCTTTAGGGTATTGTAGCGTTCTATAGGGTATAAAAAAGTAGTTGACCCTACTACGGTTGACTCGAAAGGCCATCCCTGCAACTTCCAGCTAATTCCATACCTAAGCGCGTAAAATTACACTTATGACGTTATAATAATTTCTGTTTTATTTAGAACTCTCCAAGCTCAAAAGTCTGTTAGAAGTTTAATAAAACACTATTCTTTGAATTTTCAAACTGCAATTACTTTTGAATGAAATGGTAGCATTTAACGCAGTTTTTTAAATCCTATGATTTACTTTCAAACACAAATTGATGAGATTAAAAATTTTGGAGAAATTTGAAAAATTCACTTTTTTTGAATTTTTTTCGACAACAATAACTCACGAACGAATCAACCGATGACCAACCCGGCGTCGATCGATGTGGTTTTTTGATGTTAAGATCTGATTAGTTTTTGTAATCGATCGGTAAAGCTGTAAAAGTTATTCCAAAAAAACCACATTTGAATCAATTGTATAAAAAATATCTAAGTTTGGTTAAGCCCTTTCGAATGGCGCCAATCGCGCTTAAATCATTCGAGCCGTTTAAAAGTCAGAAGAGGTTTGCATACACATACACACACATACACACACACACACACACACACACACACACACACACACACACACACGCTTTAGGCATGACGACTCTCCGGAGTGCCCGTCCTGCCCTGGAGCCACTGAAGATGCAGAGCACGTTTTTTTCGAGTGCTCGCGTTTCAATCAACAACGTGAGGAGCTGGAGAAGATTCTGAAGAAGAGAACCCAACCAGAGTCAATAGTAGAGGCAATGTTGTCGTCAGAAGCTGCCTGGAACGCCACAAGCATTTTTGCTACAAAAGTGCTTACCGAGTTGCGATCCATCGAGAGAAAAAGGATTCCCCCCCCCCCTAAAGGGAAAAAAAAAAACACACACACACACACACATACAGACATCATCGTAAAAATCGTCAGGAAAGCTTTCTAGGAGCTCAGATCGTCGAGATCTAATGAAAACTCGATTATTGAAAAACGGGGTAAAACTAATAACTTCCCGATTTTCGAAAATTTGTAATTTTTTTAGCGGAAAGTTACAAAAATCGAAATATCCACTGACTGGAAAAAGCACCATTCACAATAAAAAATTTAAAAATCTTTGAGTAATTTCGATGTCATTTTTAACTTTCCGCTGTACAAATCAATGATTTTCAAACAATCAGGAAGTTATTGGTTTCATCTCGGTTATCGAAAATGAGTGTGTGTGTGTGTGTGTGTGTGTGTGTGTGTGTGTGTGTGTGTGTGTGTGTGTGTGTGTGTGTGTGTGTGTGTGTGTGTGTGTGTGTGTGTAAATAACATATAAATATCTCATAGCTTTTGAACGGCTTGACTGATCAAATCGTGTTGTGCGGCTTTCGAAAGAGCTCTAATGAAATTTGATTCCTTTAAAATTTAAACCGATTTGGCGCAATTGATTCTGAAAATGCATTTCATTGCAAAAACAATCAGTACTTAGGACTGCTTTATCTTTAATCAATTTTGACCATGGAAGCTTTATCTTGAATAAATTTTACTCATGACATTTATTAGAATTTGCTCAGTTTCATTGAAAAAATTTTTTTGAATAAATAAATAAAACGGGGATAGAGATGTATGTTATCGAAAGAATTCACTGGTGATTGGAGAAGTCCTGGATTACGTTTGTTTTATGCAAAGATGTTTTCGGTAGAGTTTTGGATAGTTGTTGTTGAGTACTATGGTCATATTACCATCAAAAAAAGCCCATTCGGCCACAGCCGAGATGGAAGGTAGATTCCTTGAAAAAAAAAGTATATCAACTAGAAAAGAAACTATTTTCATGTTTTTCTTATATTTTTTTTTTTTACCCCGCTTTGCAGACTTTTTCGTCTCGATGGGGGTCCGGCCGAGACCGGAGGGAGACTCCAGGCTGATCGGTACATTAAGTTTGGCTGAATAAGTTTGGCGGTATTACATACTTTTTCAACCTGGAGAGTAATGCGGCGATGGACCGACTTTGGGGAAACTGCACGCATTCGCCTGTGCCCCACCGGTAGCACAGGGCTTGGGGAAACCATCGAAAACCCAAACCTGTACAGCCCGGCGTGAGTTACGAGTACCGATGTTCACTGAAAATTAAATTTCAGCTCACACCGGGATTCGAACTCACGCCTCATCAGTCCCAAGCAAGCACTACAAGCGTTGTACCGCTTAGCCATGGGACTGGCTTGTTTTTCTTATATTATATATTTGATTTTCTTATATATTAAAGCTGTAAAGAGATTCAAAACAAGTGATGTTTTTTTTTCAGAATTAATAAACCTATAATGAGATAAAAAGTGAATCAATTAATGCTTTTTGGACACTGTTCAAAAACTCTCTAATAATTGACATTTCCAGTTTGCAATTGAGATATCTGAGAGTTGTCGGAATCCATCTAAGATGTAAACTTTGCCAGCACAATATGTTAACAGGTTTTTCAAAATCAAAATGAGGATATTACCAAAAATTGGAAATTTCGTGTATCAATTAATAAGTTCTAAATATATCTTCAATTAAAATTTTAAGTTGATTGTCTGTACAGTTTATGAAAAATTAATTATTGAAGTTGCTTTTTGTACATGTTTAGGTATGGAGAGCCAATAAATTTAATGTGAAATTTATGTGACTACACGAGTGCTACGAAAGACTCCATACTACCTTTATCGGTTTATTATACCTCTACATGTGTAGAAAGCAACTTCAATAATTAACTTTTTGAAAATCGCACAGAAAATCAAGTTGAAATTTTAACTGAAGGGGTTTTAAACTTGTTAATTGATACACGAAATTTCAATTTTTAGGTATCAAAACTCCTTCAACAACAATTACAATAAATACAGACTAGCTGTTACCTGCCCACTCGGCTGGGCGTTTGAAGAATTGTATTTGTAGATTTAAACTTGAAATTTAATTGGAGTATTGTATTGACTTACAGAGATTCCAAATTTCATTGAATTTGGGAGCCTATAAGAGCTATAGTTTAAAAACGGGAATTTTTCATCGATGACGCCCCCGTAATCTCTTTTGGGGTTGGAATTTGTTAATTTTAACATGCATTCTTGGCTGAATTTGACATCCTACACAAAGATTCCTACCAAATTTGAACTCTGTAGAAGTTATAATTTGTAAATCAAAATTTTAGATTTTAAAACCCAGTCCCGCAATCCCTATCAGGAGAAGAATTTATTAAAATCCATTTTGAGATGATCTCTTCATAAGAAATAAAAGATTCCTACCAAATTTATAGTTTTTAGAAGCTATATTTTGGAAATTAAGATTTTTTATTGTCAACACTCACTCCCGCGATCCTCACTGGAGGTGGTTCGTTGTAAAATCCGCTCTTAGATCATTTCTATATCACACTAGCTGACCCGGTGAACTTCGTATCACCTACAACATATTTTGTTACACCTTTCGATCAGCGATTATCAATCTTTAAACTCTAATCTACTTCGATAAAGAATAAACACTGGCTGTATAAAGTGCGGTTAGAATTTTGTCAAGCTATTGAATGAAACTCGCTTCTTATTATCGCCTGAAAATCAAGATCCCAAAAAATCAACACTGAATTTATAAAATTTTTTTTTGTCCATATATATAGAAGATAGACGATTAACAATTTTAGATCTGTTGATTTCCTTAGCTGAACTTACGGGTTTTCAAAAATTTTATTCTTTTGAAAACATCCCTGAACTATATAGCGGACAAAACAAAAAGAAAATTTTTGAAATCGGTCCAGCCGTTTTTGAGTTTTAGCGAAACTAACGCACAGCAATTTATTTTTATATTATTTGATGATAATGATTTTTTCAGCTGAACTGTCGGGTTTTCCAAAATTTAGTATATTACACTACAAGGGCAGAAAGTTAAGATTCCTGCACCGCGCGCCATGTGCCCGAGGCGAAGCCGAGGGCATCATGGCACGCAGTTCAGGGCTCTCAAATTTCTGCCCATGTAGTGTATACTAGTTTTCTTGCTATGCGGTCGAAAGTACGTTAAAAATTGCGTTGAAAAATATTGATGCCTGCTCCCGACATTTGCGGCAACTTTCTGGCCGCTGCGCTAAACAAAGTTGCCACATTCCGGCTAAGTCGAGCAGAAAAATAGTATACACACCTTGGCCAGTAAAAAGTAAAGCCTCAGACCACATGTTTGTCAACCTCGGCTTCGCCTCGGCCAACAATTACATGTGGTCTGAGACTTTTCTTATTTTACTGGCCTAGGTATGTAATATACTATTTCTTCGTGTCAATTACTATTCATTTTTGAAAGAAAGCCACGGGAATGTTACAGTGATTTCACATTAAACGTTACAATGAATATTAGCTAGAATAATTACATGGTTAAAAGGTACAGGCCAATCCGATGAAATTTGAAATCTGTGCAAGTAAAAAAAATACTCCAATAGAATTGCATATCTAGATCTGAAAATACAATTCCATAGTGCCTAGTGGAGCGGGCGGGTAACAGCTAGTAAATAAATAAATTTGTAAATATAATATTTTTATAAAAGATGTAATGGAATTCAAATTGGAAACAATAAAAGATCCAATAATATTTTGATAATTCGCGAATTTTCCGAACTATTCGGGAATTATTCGAAAATTTTCGAATTATTCGAAATTTTTTAAATTATTCGAATTTTTTCGAATTATTCGATTCGAATATCTATATTCGATTCGAACGATATTCGTACACTCCTAATAGATAGATATAAAAGACTCCTAATCAATTTGGAGCATGTAGGAGCTATATTTTGAAAATCAAAATTTTTTTTTGCTAACATCCACTTCCTCAATCCATATTTGGAGTAAGTTGTCACAAAATCCACTCTTAGATCATTTCTACCACACATATAGTAGATTCTTACCAAATTTGGAACCTATAAAAGCTATAGCTTGGAAATTGAAAATTTTCATTGTTAACATCTACCCCCGCAATTCATATTTGGAGTAGGTTGTCATTAAATCCGCTCTTAGATCATTTCTACCTCGTATGTAGCAGATTTTTACCAAATTTGAAGTTTATGGGAGCTATAGCTTGGAAATTAAAAATTTTTATTGTTAACACCCACCCCCGCAAACCCCTGTCGGGTGAGCTATCGTAAAATTCGTTCATATATGATTTTATTATCACTTATAGAAAATTCCTACCAAATTTGGAGTCTGTAGGAGCTATAGTTGGAAAATTACAAATTTTCATTGTTGATACCCACTCTCACAACCCCCTGTGGGGTGATCTATCGTAAAATTAATTCATATACTATTTCTACATCTCTGACAGAAGATTCCTACCAAATTTGGAGTCGATAAGAGCTATAGTTTAAAAACGGGAATTTTTCATTGTTGAGGAGGTCCTTTCGCCATCAATGTTAAATAAAAAATATTAGATCATGCATAAAATTAATTTTTATCTAATAGTTAAAGTCCTTATGTATCTACTAGTGAAGTTTAATTTATACTTCACCGTGCAAATTTTTGAAAAAAAAATTTCTAAAAATGTTAGTATTTTTTCCGAGTCTTACGAGATAGTCAGACCTTAACAACTTTCTCGAATTATGGCATTAACCACCGATTAAATGGGGTAAAAAAAAACTCAAAATAAGGTTTTTGAAATATTCAGGTTTCATTTTTTGTAATAAAATATATAGGTTGCCGTGAAATTTATGGAGAAATTATAATTATAAAATCACAGAAAATTTTTAAGTAACTTACATTTAAATGGCGTCAGAACATTTGGCAACGTTGTGTAGCGCGCGAGCTTCAGACCATTCAATAAATTCAAACTAAACTTTATGTTTTTCATACATACATACTTATTAGTTAATTTATTGTTAACAAATTTTCATAATTCATAATTGAAAAATAAAACAATAATTAAAAAATATTAGCATTCCTGTCATGAGATATTAGAATGTTATGGTTTTGTGACTAAACATTTTTAATTAATTTATTTATTTACATTGACTGCAAAAAGTTAAACATGGTTAAGGTTATATTGTGCAAGTAAAAATGTAAACAACCGAAATAAAGCGTTGCCAAATCACGGACAGGTTACTAACAGCTGATTTACAAGAGTCAAATTAATTGTTGTATTTAACTATTTTTTTTTTAATTTTCAAAATTTCAACGATTAATGCCTCATATACTATTTATTTTTTAATTTTAGAAATTTTTGTGGGTATTTTATTTTAATTTATCGAATATTGACTACTACAGTTTTTGTGACTCAACTGGAGCGAAAGGACTTCCTTAACGCCTCCGCAAACCCCTTTGGGGGAGGAATTTCTTAAAAACCGTTCTTAGCTGACCTCTACATGGCAAAAGTAATATTCCTACCAAATTCCAAGTTTCTAGGTCTGATGGTTTCCGAGATATCGTGATGAGTATGACTATATAGATAGGAATTTCTTATAATAATATAGATAGAAGATAACGGTGAAAAAAATACCTGAGAATAATACTGGGTATTATTAGAAGGTCTATGTCTGGAATCAGAATCATCACCATCCTGAAATGAAAAAAAAACAAAAAAAAAATATTTACACTGACAAATACAGCTTACATATAGAACAAAATAATTGACTTACATCACTTTCAATATCAATATCACGATCGTCGTCGCTCATTATAAATTTTTTTTTGACATTAAATTAATAAGAAGTGAAAAAATTTAATACATTAAAATATTAGCAATTTTCAGGTATGATGATCGAAAATTTTTACGTTGATTTAAATATACAGAAGATTTTTTGAAAAAAAAAAAAAGAAAATTAAAATTGTTTCTCAATTTATTGATGTATGTAAACATCTCTATTTTGTCAAAACAAATATTTCGAACCAAGCAGCATTGTTTAAAGTTTTAATTACTTCACTATTGACTAAAAAAAAAAAATTAGGAAAAATGTTAGACCTTTACTTTACTGAATATGATGAAAAAAATTTTTATAATGTATATTTTATGAAAATATGAGCAGCATTCACAATATAACTTTTACAATTCAAGTGTAATGAAGGTTATAGATTACAAACATTTGTATATACTCTATACTAGCACAGATAGCAATATTTTTAATTTTTTGCTTCACTACATTCATTCATATGTTATATATATGTAAGTTACTCGTTTTTATTTCCTACACCATAATATGTATTTTTATATGTTTTCATGGTCGGAAAAGTAGTGAGAATAATATATCTCTTGTATTGCTTTCATTACTTTTCTGGTTTTTACGTATACCATCAGTGTGTGAGTCCCTTTACATTTTTCCTTTAGTTTCTTGTAGTACCAACTTAAATTTCACGTTGGCTACTTATTTTTTGGCAGTGTCCCCGTCCCCATAGGTGTGATGCCTCCAGATGCATTCAGCTGGTGACACTACATGTCAGCGAAGCGCGAATTCAATTATACTGTCGGCGACGGCGACATGTACATACAGTCGGCGACAAGTATTTCTCCCGTACACAGTAACAAACGTGCACAAAATATCTCTATGTAAATAGCTTGTTATGCTTCCATCTAGGGGATGTTATTTTTATTTATTGAAAACTTTACTTACTGTAGTTCTTTCGCCCGGGAGTATTAAAATACTCGGTTTCAGCGCGGGAAAGGAATAATTTTAAATAAAAGAATTCTATTTAGACGTTATTTAATTTTGATCAAAATTATTTAGTTGATTTTAATTTATTATTCAAGTTGACAAAATATTAAAAGCTTGAAAATATAAAATTGAGGTTTACAATGACGCGATCTTAGCAATCTAAGCTCTCGATGAGAAGTGTCGTTATATAGTTTTTCCGGAGAGCTTCAAACTCCGTTCTTCTCCCACCATAACTCCCATACATATATCCACTCTTGTACATATATAAGTACACATATTTCTACTACATATAAATGATTTTCACACTAATATATAATATTTTCTATTATATTTACATACATTTATTTATAAATTATATATATTGCAGTTGATTAATATTCGTATTTTGCAAATTAGATTAAGCTTATTACTATTTCTATCAATCTATAATTTATTAAAACTATGAAATAGTTTAATTGTTAATGTAAGAGATAAATATCATTTAATAATATTATTTTATAAAATCTTATTCTTTTAACATTAATTAATAATTATTTATAGGTTGGATACAGGACATAAATTGTTAATTTAATTTTTATATATTTCGTTGCAATATTATATTAAAGCAAGTTTAACAAAAATATGTTATTTAACGATCTTATTCTTTGTTAGATATTTGTTATGTTATTATTTAGCCGTTGAAACAAGGGATCATAGAATTTTCCTCACACGTGTCTTTTATGGCTTTTCCTCAGAATCTCAAGTACCTAAGGTTTCTCAGAACTCAACTACAATGTCCCTTTGTACTCGACAATAGCTTACATTTATTTGAAACAAAATATACTCTATAAAATAAATATTCAACGATACAGAACCTAAACTTTCTAATTTGAACAGTGTTTACTATTTAAATTATGAATTAATAAAATAATTTAATATAATCTACATTATATTTTAATTTGCACTTCACTGCTGGTAGCGTCATCTGCTGGATGCATCTAAAGGCATTACAAGCTCCATGTCAGATATTTCTATGTAATACATATTTCTAGGGAATATCTATAAATGAAAAATTTGTCTATTTAAAAATATATCCATGCAAGAATAACTCTATGTAAATTAATTTTATCCGCAAATAAATCTATGAAAAAATATTTCAATGTTAAAATAAATCCATGCTTCCACATCTCTATGTAAAAATAAGTCAGTGTAAAATTAGTATAGTATCTGCAATTTGTAAATTTCATACCGTATTGTTAGGAGGAATATTTGAGCAGGAGTGTGGCACTGGCGCTTCCGTGTTAGTAAATTTGATTAAAAAAAAATTTTTTTGACTTTTTGAATTCTTTCAATTTGATGATTTTGAAAAAACTTAAACATGTTTTTTTTTTTTATAACAACAAAGTTAACTGACATTTTTTGTTTATTTTTTGACTTTGTTTAATTTATTAAATTAAACCTAAAAAAATTTTTTTTTAATTACACTTACAGTTTTTCAAATTTTTTACAAATGAATTTGAAAAAAATTTTTTTTTGTAATGATTTTTTCAATAAAAAAAATTCTAAAAA